TTCTTTTCTTCTCCCCACCCCTCCCTCACTTCTATCAGTTGCAAATATCTCGACTTCTTATCTAGATAGAAGGGTATCTTTTCATCGAAAGTGAGACAAACTAACAAGCTATAAGAAAGTACCAATAATTCCGTATGCCCCAAAAATTGACGGCGAGCGCCTGATTCCCCCACGTTGTGACAGACATTGTACAAACCTTCCAAGGATCAAGACGCGTCCATGCCGCAATACAGAATAGAATCAGTTCCTCAAGAAATATTCATGTCTTTTAAACGTTTTGCTCTTTTCCTTTTAGTAAGAGTTTCACGACATTGCAAAACAATTTGGTCGTATAACTGCTGAAGATTACATAACATAAAAAGAAAGAGGAAGGAGAGGTAAGGGCGATAGATGTTGTTAGATATGAAAAAAGAAGCAAACCACACCCAGCCCCCACCAACCACAAACGTTTGCTCTTTGAATGAGACGGTGCCACTCGCTACACCTCTGAGGCTCCGAGCACATCGCGCTACCTCACAATTACAAAGTCCTATCTGCTGACATTTTTTTCTCGCTTTGAGTTACTAAGGCCGTGAGATTTAAAAAACACATTAACGATGCATCAGCTCTTATAAAACAGTAAGATCATTTGTCGGAGGCGCCATCGAGATATTTAAACGAATTGCATTCGAAAAGGCTTGACATGACAGACATGACATGAAACATCAAATCTGATCTTCGACGTCAAATTCCTCAAAACTAGGCACTGAGCAGTAGGATATTGTTAGACGCCATGGGGAAATCAGACGCTCGTCAAAATAATGAAATAAAAAAAAATCGGTATTTTTTTGGCCAAAGGGAAATTTTTTTTCTAATTTTCCTTTTTTGGCTCAACACCATTTATGTCCATTCAAGAACACATTTTTTGTGTGGATTTTACTGAAAAACATTGATTAAAGGCACGAAAAAATGCAAATTTTCAGTTTCCAAGGACTCTCAGAGAGGGAGAGAGAGAAAGAAAGAGAGAAAGAGAGAAAGAAAGAAAAAGAGAAAGAAAGAAAGAGAGAGAGAGAGAGAGAGAGAGAGAGAGAGAGAGAGAAAGAGAAAGAGAAAGAGAGAGCGAGAGAAGGGGGGG